TCTAGCGATGCTTGGTCCCCTCACTACTGAGGTTTGGTCGTCTAAGACCAAACTCTGTCTCATATCTGGCAGCAGCCAACTACCAAGGCCTGATCGTTGAAGACTAAGGCCTAGTCCTTCTGCGCCTACATAAATGAGTAGGTCTCCACCCATCAAGAAGATCACTACCAACAAGGGGGTCTTTACCTACTAGTAAAGCCTCCGCCTACCAAACGACAGTCGTCACCTCTCTTCCTTTGCAGGAATTGCCTATCGACTTCAGATTATGCAGAATTTTGGATTGATCATCCATTGCAGGTTAATTCTCAGTAATCATTTCTAACACAATCTAATATTTTTAGACAACCGCAAATTGTTGTAGCACCAGGCACTCCGTCCGCTGTATAAACGTCTATAGAATGGGTCATCCCCCAAGATCCCACCATCGGGGGCAGAATAGTGGATCACATGATATCAATTGTCGATCTACATATGATGACAAGGTTTAGACGATTGACGCACCAACCTTGGTACATTGAGCTAACCGGGTTTCTAATCTCTCTCCTTTAGCGATTCCTCGAGGGCACTAGTCATCCAAGACCGGTGCCCGATCCTCTGAAACCATAACCTGTCACATGCACTTCAAATGTGATGGGTCACTACCACCATAGCCACAAAGCGAGGCAAGCATAAAAGATAAGTCCACGAAAGTGAAAAACTTTGACTCCCTTATTAAAGGGCAAGCATATAAGAGATCGTTCTTCAGCCAAAGCGATAGGACATATCGTGAGGATGACTCAGATAAGTATATCGACTAACAATTGTCTTACAGTTGGAATTAGCCTTATTCAAAATAAAGACTGGGGGCATCTCAGTTCATCATTTTACATGGAGGGGACAAGAAGCCGACCACTCCTTCTACACAGAAGGGTGAGATAATTAAAGCTTCCTTCAGAGACGAGACGACTACCTCTCGTATTAAAGGGGTCACCCTCTTTCAGACTACACCTCTTTCCCCCATAAAGGAACGAAGGGTCAACTTCATCTTCTTCCCTCGGTAAAGAGACGAAGAGTTAACTACTCCCTATTAAAGGGAGAGCTTGCAAAGCTCGAGTAACTCTACTTCCCTTATTAAAAGGGGCAAGAAAGTAATCATCAAACATGCTTAGCTCAGTAGGACTTGGCATTCCCGACGCTTGACAAAAATCTAATTCCCTTACTAAAGGGATACAAGGGATGATAATGAGTGTCCTGTATTAAAAGGATCCGGGCTGAATGAATCCTGTAATCAATATCCCCGTACTATAAGGGATAGTAAATAAATGTCCTGTACTAAAAGGACCCGGGATGAATGAATCCCTTAATCAATATCGCCGTACTATAAGAGATAGTAAATAAATGTCTTGTACTAAAAGGACCCCGGTTGAATGAATCCCGTAATCAATATCCTCATACTATAAGGGATAGTAAACATAATTCCCTTACTAAAGGGACGAGCTGAGTGAAGCTCATAAAGCCTACTTCCCTTACTAAAGGGACGAGTTGAGTAAAGCTCGTAAAATTTAATTCCCTTATTAAAGAAGTGACGAACTGAGTGAAGCTCGTACAATTTATTCCCTTATCAAGGGAAGATTACCCAAGTTTACCAAAAAGAGTACCCAAGGACAATAGTACCCAAGGGAAGATTACCCAAGGGTACCAAAAATAGTACCCAAGGGAAGATTATCTAAGGGTACCAAAAAGAGTACCCAAGGGTACTAACAATAGTACCAAAGGAAAAATTACCCAATGGTACCAAAAAGAGTACCCTTGACAATAGTACCCAAGGGAATATTATTCAAGGGTACCAAAAATAGTACCCAAGGGAAGATTACCCAAAGGTACCAAAAATAGTACCCAAGGGAAGATCACCTAAGGGACCACTACCCAAGGGAAGAGTACCCACGGGAAAAACTACCTAAGGGAAGATTACCCAACGGAACAGTAAAAAAAAATAATAATAATACTGCTCACATGAACAGTACCCGCGGGCATTGTTACAGTGCCCAGGGAAAAATAAAAATTTATTGTTCACATGAACAGTACCTGCGGGCATTGTGCCTAGGGCAAAAAAAAAAAAAATTCATTCCCAAAGCTAGACGAGCAAGCTTGGGAATGGGGGGCAACTGATAGGGAAAAATAAACCTAACCTACTTTAACCAGCCGCCAGACCTCTTTGACATATTTCGTTATCAAAGATAACAATTTTCATCAGATAAGAAAGATGACATTTCTTATCCAGGATAATGAAAGACGACGTGGTTCAACAGGGTGAGGATAACCTTGGCACAATTTGAGAAAGTCAACGGAGTAAATCATATCCTTTACAAATCTGGCAATAAACGGATCTCCTCTGATCTTGCACAAGTGGATGATAAGGGAGACCTCAACCTTCGACATCGGCGGGACCAATTTGGTTCCAATCGACAGCCATAAATAGGGCACCAAGTTATTAAAGAAGGTACGAGAAAAAACCCCTAAACTGAATATACATAATTATTATGTGATACGATTACAAGTACTAACTTGATCGTCGGAGGGTCCTTGGCTGGCACCCCACCGGTGCCATTCGAGGTGACGTCGCTTTGTTTTTCATGCGAACGCCGTCGTTCCGAGTCGCGAGGATTTTAGCATCAACACCATTACAGGTAGAAATGTCAGAAAGACCAATAGTATTCAACACACCATCAAAAAGATCAAGCATCTTTTGAGGCACCCTTTTTTCACCTATATTATCCCCATGACCTCTTATAGAGTTCCAGTCCCCGATTACAATCCAAGGACCATCCACTATAGAAGCAAATAGGCCCAGTTTCTCCCACAATTTTTCCCTCTCCTTAGCAGTGTTTGCTGCATAAATAGGAGAAGCATTAAAGGTTCGTTGCAATTGAAGATGTTTTATCCTCTAAAACATACATTGGTCAGCAACATCCATTATCTGAACATCCACATCAACTGGGTTCTCCAACCAACCCAAATTCTACCCAACTCACATGTGCTATAATTGTTCCTCCAATTCCATGAGCAATTTATGTTCTTAGACATTCTGCAAAAATGAGCTTCTCTGACCCTTGTTTCTAAAAGAAAGGCTAAGGAGATAGAAGTTGCCTTCATCAATTTTTGTACCTGCCTCTGCATTCTATGCCTATTTAGGCCTCTTACATTCCAGCTCCCTAACGTTTGGAGCTGGAAGAATGAGCCCTTGCTTGTGACCCTTTGAGTCACACTCATATCAGGTTTCTTCTGCTTTTGTTTTTTCACTCAGAACCTTTAGTCTCAATACGATAGTGAATTCTCCACATTAGCAGTGTCTCCATCTATAAGTTTTCCTCATTTCTTCTGTTTTAGATTCCTCTCCCAAACGCACACACCCCTACTGAGTAGCTTCCCCAGCAGAAGCTGTTTTAGCCCTTTTCAACTCTTCATTTCTAACAACTGAGACATCCAAATTACTCCTCTGAATATTAGCAATTTGTTCCATATCAAATAGAGAACCAGCATCCAATACTCCAAATCTATCCCCACATACTGAATTTCTCTCTCATGCTGTGAACTTTGCACCTCTTCCTCCACTGAATGATCATTTCCTCCTTCAACGTGAACATCCTGTTGAACTAAATTAAGCCTTGAACCTCATTCAGTTTTTTGGATTGCCTCTTATTCCTCTTTATCTTGCAAAAAAGCAAATGCATTACCATCCACCAGCCCAGTCTGTTTATCTACTATGGTAATTTGATAATCTTGCTGTTTATCAACACCTTCTTGTACTGGAACCAATCTCCTTGTATTTTGATCACCCATCGAGTAGATATAACAGGTTTTGCCTTGGGCATACTCTTCCTTGGACATTTAGTCACACTATGATCAATACCATGACATATGCTACATAGTTGTGGTTTCCATTCATACTAACTCCACAGAGCAATCTTTACCATGAATGCAAATATGCAATAATTCAGGTAGTTCCTCATGGACATCTACCACCACCATAACTCTCACATACTCTCCTCGTTCTCTCATCATCGATTCATCAAGATATAAAGGTCTCAAAAACTTGGAGCATACCTTTGAAACAACACTTCTATTAGAACAATGGATTAGAAGTCCATGAATATTCAACCACACTGGGATCGACCCCAGTACATCCCCTTTGAGATCAACACATTTATTCCACTTCTTCACTATAATCGACCGACCCTCAAACATATGGACCCTTTGCAATGTTCTGTGAACATCTTGAAAATAATCAAACATTTGTTGGTACAGAACAAGAGGGAACTGTTAGATAGTGATGCTTGTTATCCTTTAGTGCAGGTCAGGTATGATAGCTTCTTTTTTCTTTTACTTTTATCTTATATTTATTTATTGGTAGATCATATCAAGCAAACAAGGCACATCCAAATATTATATGGTAATGTTGCACCAGAAGCTTCTATAGCAAAGGTTACAGAAAAAGAAGGTTCTCTGCACATGTTTGCTACAATAGTGGCAATTTTAAAACAAGTGATTCGTTATGATTAAAGAAGATTGAAAAATTATACAAATCAGGGACACGAGAGATAGAGAGCTACACTGCATTCCTATTTTTTAAATCACGCTTATTATTTTTTTCAGTGGATTTTGCTCTCAAATACATAACAAGTATACTACTATTCAAGCCAGTTTAATTTGTCATGTTAAAACCATTGATCAACACACAAGTTTGACAAGTAATGGCATGTCCACGGTTTAGCATCAATCTCTTCCAACAAATAATAAGATCATTGATAGATTCCATCAAGCAAGCATGAGTTGCATGAAAAGGTTCTGAGTTTACTGGAAAATATGGGCTATACTTCTCTGGTGTTGTCTTCCATTCCACCCTTTTTACTCTTATGACTTTTTTCTTATTATATGCTTCGCATTGTTTTACTCCTTTTTTTTTATCATTCTGAATATTTGACGTATTGAAGAGCTAATGATTCTAAATTATTATACACTAGGTCCTGTTCTTTTCATTGAAGGAGAGAAATTTATGATTGCAACTACCATGAATGAGCCTTTGATTTTTAAGGTATGTTCCCTTCCTTTGAATTGTATTATGTTCCTCCTCTCTTTTTTTTTTTTCATGAGAATACCTTATAGTTTCATACTAAATTCAGTAAATGACACTGTTATTATAACTTGATGTTCTACCTGTCATTTTGAGAATTAATGACTATTCTACATGTTATTATAAATTGATATTCTGTATTGTTAAAATTTCCTTTTTTGTTTGTTTTCTGTAGATTTAGTAGATATTGGAGATGGATTTTCTTTTATGTTTGTTCTCTTTTTCAATTCAGTTTATAATATCATGCATTGTAGGAAGTATTCCCAAAGATATCTATGCTGCTTACCTACCCCTATTTTCTCTCTAATTATGTTTATGCATATGTGAGTGTAATTTAGTATAACAATCTGAAAAGATATATTTTCTTGTTAAACAAAATTTTGCTCTATTTGAAAGCTAAAATATTGGGCAATGTATTGGTGAATTAAAAATGGTTGAGATTTCTGACTTGAGTGTGGGTGCGCCAGAAATTGAATAACTCTCTTCTTTCGGTTTTTTCTGCCTTGTAACAAGGACTTTAACAGTGAAGGAATGTATGGCAGAAAATATAAAACATTTTGAAAATCTGAGATTTCATTGACTTGAAATCTGAGTACAAAGTAGAAGATTACACTAGACTACTGCAGAAAGTGAAATCTGAGATTTTATATTTTGTGGCGTTTTCAGGGTTGATTTTATTGTGAAAGTATGTTTGTGTTATGTTTGAGTACATTTATGCTATTTCAGGTGCATTCATGCTATGGTATCGCGATGTTTGTCTAGTGTAAGTAGGTGTATGTTCTCATTATGGTGTTGTGATATTTGTTTTGTATTGTGACATTTGCTCATTACATGTGCGGGTATATTTGCACTATTACATCATGATTTCATTTTAGGGCATGTGTGAAGTCTGTGCAAAAAATGCACGGCATGCATGAATTTCAAAGGATACGTCTTCTTCTGATGTTGCTCTCTAAGATTGGTGCACTTACATAGCTCCTTCACAAGGAATTATCTAAGTTTTTGAGAGTCTTTCGCGATTTATTTAAACTTCATCAATGCTCTAAGGAATCTTCTCAAACCTTTCTAGGTCGACATAGAGCCTTTCTTCTTGCTGAAAAGCTGCGGTTGATTTATGAACCCAATTGATGAAATGACCATCCGAGTTTATGTATGAACCTGTTCTTTTATTTAGAATCCAAATTTCAATGAATTTTAAGACATTCAAGTCTTAATATTTGGGTCCTAATCACTCGAGCATATGACCTCAGATTCAATTATTCGAGGCTTAATATTCCTGGGAAGTTAAATTTTATGAATTTTAAGATGTTCAAGTCTTAATGTTTTGATTTGCATGCCCGGGACATATTTTCCAGACTTATTTAAATGTTTTATATATTATTTTATATATATGTGAGGGTGTATGTGGAATTTTACATGGTTGTGGCATTGTGGGGTTCTAACCATTCAGGCTTAGTTCCAAAATTATTATTATTATTATTATTATTATTATTATTTTTTGGTGAAATTTAAGATAGTTGAATCTTGAAGTTTGGATTCTAATCATTCAAGCCAAGAAGCTAGATTTACACATTTCAAGACGTTCAGGCCTCTTAATGTTTGAGCTCTAACCATTCGAGTTTAGAACCAATTCTTTTATGAATATTAAGATATTCGAATCTTAATGGTTGGATTCTACTTGTTCGAGCTTAGAACCTAAAATTCTGTGAATTTTAGTACGTCTGAGTCTTGGTGTTTGGGTCCTACCGTTCGAGCCTAAAACCTATAACTCTATAAATTTCAAGATGTTTGGGTCTTAACGTCCGGGTTTAACTTTCTGAACTTAGAACCAAAATTTTGTGAAGTTTTAGACATTTGAGTCTTAATTTTTGGGTTCTAACATTCTGAGTTTAGAACCGAAATTTTTTGGATTTGAAGAAATTTGAGTCTTAATGTTTGGTTTCTAATTTTCCGAGCTTAGAACTATTTTTTTGTGGATTTTTGGACATTTGTGGAACCTAACTTTTGTGATCTTTAAAATATTCGAATCCCAATAAATGATTTATTAAGTTTTTGAAGATATCTGAGTCTTAATTTTTATGTTCTAACCATTTGAGCTTAGGACCTAAATTTTGTGACTTTTGAGATGTTCCAATATTAATAGGTGAATTTTTAAGATATCCACAATTTTGAATTTTGGTCCCTACCATTCGAGCTTAGAACCAAAATTTTGTGAGTTCTTGGATATCCAAGTCTTAATATTTGGGTTTTAACCATTTGGGCTTAGAACCAAATTTTTGCAACTTCTATGATTTTCGAATCTTAATGTGTGAATTTTAAGATATTTGAATCTTAATGCTTAGGGTTCTAGCTTTCTGAGTTTTGAACCAGAATTCTTTGAATTTTAAGACATTTGAGTCCTAATGTTTGAGGTTCTAGCTTTCTGAGCTTAGAATCAGAAAATTGTGAATTTTAAGACATTCAAGTTCTAATGTTTTGGGTTCTAACTTTCTGACTTAGAACCAAACTTTGTGAATTATTAGACATTTGAGTCTTGATGTTTGGGGTTCTAGATTTTCAAGCTTAGAACTAAGATTCTGCAAATTTTCAGACATTGGAGTCATAATGTTTGGGGTTCTAGCCTTCCGAGCTTAGAACCTGAATTTTGTGATTTCGAGACATTCAAATCCTAATGTTTTGGGTTCTAACGTTCTGAGCTTAGAACCTTCGTGAATTCTCAAGACATTTGAGTCTTTACGTTCGGGGTTCTAGCTTTTCGAGCTTAGGAACAAAATTCTGCAGATTTTCAAACATTCGAGTCCTAATGTTTGGGGTTCTACTGGCTTTCTGAGCTTAGAACCAGAACAAAATTCTGCAGATTTTCAAACATTCGAGTCCTAAAATTCTGCAGATTTTCAAACAATTGAGTCCTAATGTTTGATGTTCAGGTTCTAGCTTTCAGAGCTTAGAACCAAAGTTTTGCAAATTCTTGAATTTTCGAGTCTTGATGTTTAGGTTCTAGCTTTTCGAGATTAGAACCAAAAGTTTGAATTCTTAGCTTTCGAGTCCTAATGTCAAGGTTCCAACTTTCTGACTTAAGAACCAAAATTTTGTGAATTGTTAGCCTTTCAAATTTTAATATTCAGTTTCTAGCTAAGATAATCAATGAAATGGAGTAGGCATAGTAGTAGATCACTACGCGAGGGATAAAGTTGTAAAAGTTAGTAGACAAGGAGATTAGCCTAATAACGATTTTTAATTGTCCTAGACTAATAAGAATGAATATATACCTTAAATATATCTGAGGGCAAGCCTGTCTCAGTCCCTTTTGAGGCTTGAAGAAACCGGCAGGAGAACCATGCACTAGTACTGAAAATCAAGCTGAGCCAAGACGTTCACCCTCCTATTTCATTTCATCCAAAGATGTTATAACGCAACAAGAAACAACCCTTTAACCACTCTGTTTCTGGGATGTCTGCCCTTTATGGACTGATAACACCAATCTGCCAAAGCAGTTACAGAAACCTGTACAGGAATGTCCACCTTCAAAACTTCAGCCCACCAATTACATAAGCCATTAGTAAGATACCAATTCTTCCTCCTCCTTGGACTAAACAACCATTTCAGCCCTTCCTTTTCTCTGACTCTATCCTTGCCCTCTTCCCTCTCCTTAACTCCACCAAATCTCTCTCTATACTAACAAACAACCACCTGAAACGAGCCCCCTTCACCTATACAATCCAAGATTACATAAGTGCACAATTTAAGTGGTGCACTGTCAAAGCAATACATTTAAAGGATAGTTGTACATTAGACAAATAGGTTTGAAGCCCCCAATTAAAATTGAGGAAATTTAAACCATCACGAGGTCAATTGCTGTCGATAAGAGAGTAAACAACTGATAGTAAAAGCAGTGCTACAGATGATTTAGAAATTCCTAACAAATTTGTAGTTGTGATGTAATATATCAATTCCTCGTTCAGCATTTACATGTTCACAATTCAACCAAGAAGCCCATTTATAGGAACAATGCTATGTATCTAACACTAGTAATCAGTGGTTCCTAATTCAGGGGGGAAAATGAATACAAGAATTTGGTTAAACACCTAAACAGAATTCTATTAATCAATGGTTCCTAAACATCAGTTGATCTCATAAACTTTCAGCTGAACCAGCTTTTGCTTCAACGTTCTCTTAACCCATCTTTGTGTTGTTTCATGTATCATTACGCGCCCATGCCACCGATGGTTCTCTACCAGATAAGTTATTACGTCCAGCTCTTCCACATCAGCTATGGTAATTGTTGTTTTAGCCCAGAGAGAGTGAAGTTCTCTCTCAAAATCAGTCTGCAGCAGGGAATTTTGCTCTTTCATTCTCTTCAACTCTAGCGTAATTTCTTTCAGCTTATTTGGTGGTAAATTTCTTGATTTGGCAACTTGAAGTTCCATCCTTGTTTGGTCGTTTTCAGCTCTTTGGAGTTGTTTACGTATTTCTATGAACCGTTGCAGACGTTCACATCTCCCCGCCATTCTGCAGAAAGAGAAGTTAAGGCAAACAAGGAAATTACAATAATGTGCAGAAATTGAAAGTTGACGCAGAAACAAAAATTATAGAAGTGCAGAAACTGAAAGTTTACACTGAAATGGAAATTACAGGAAATAAACATAAAGGACGTGAATTTCTGCATTTATGAGAATGTTTAGTTTGACTGATCACTAGCTGCCATATAACATTTCATATTCAATATGAAACACACATATTTTTCAAGCATCTCCTATAATGATAGCATCTTATTTGACATTCAACTAAGCATCGTTTGCTTGGCAGCTCAGAGTCTCTTAGATGGCCCAATATGGGAATGTACAGAGTAGATGTAGCATCATTTATGTCATTGGCTTTGTCGAGTTGCGGGTAATGGAATTTAAGTATTAAGAGCATGGTCTAGTTCTTGATAAAGATGAAGTTACATGTCCCTAACCTAGTGTGGATGGCATAACAGCTTAAAGTTGTGTGGTTGGTGAGGAGCATACCATTTTTATTATCGTCACTATATCATTACCATAGCAAAACAGGGAGCTGCGCTCTACCCTTCCAGTGCTTTTCCGGGGAGGTCCAGAGTCTACCCAAGGAAGAAAGAAGGTTATTTTATTTCTTAGCCAACTAAATGCTTACAACATTGAAGACTATTTAACCGTAGCATTGTTTTATACCCTTCGTGATAGAAGAATGCAGATAGTAGACGCACTAAAACTGCAAATGGATGTCCAGAGGCGCATATGAACAACTAAAGGTTTGGGACTGGTTAACTCCTTTTATCACAAAGTCATTTACATCATATTATTGCAGACCTCAACAGTTCTCTCTTTTATTTCTTTCAATCAGGGTCAAAGAATTGTGCAATTGCAGATTGAAGAACAGGGAAACAACTTAACAAGAGTACAAAATAAACACAAATATACTTCTATTGATGATGCCAAAGATGCTGAACAATTGAATTCTTCGGAATCATTGTACAAATGTGAATTTATCCAAGGACACTACTCCAAGCATGACTGGTGTGGCTTTATCCCATAATTTCACACAGTAAAAAGTAGAAAAGACATTTTTTTGCTCGAGTCTTAAATTTTGCAATCAGAGAAAATGAACATTGAAAGCTAAATGAAGGCATGTGTAGATGCCATATTTATCTGTGTTTTTTAAGATTCAGGGAGAGAGAGAATGGCCAGACTTGAAACTCCAATATATGAAATTCATACATTTTAATTATTTTGAACTGTTCTACTACAAGATTTCTACTTAATTAAAGGCCTGTGAAGTGCACTGGTTTACAACATTCATAATTTCATTCAAGAATTAGTCCCCAAGGCAATAAATCATCGTAATGATTAGTCAAGTCATTTAATATACCGAAGGATTTTCAAACCCACAAAATCTTTAAACAAATTGAAATGAAAACTGTTGAAAGAAGTCTACGTTTTGGATTTATGAAGTGAAAGCTTACTTTTTCTGGCAGTTGAACTCTCGGATTGATCAAAATCTATGCCTATGAGAGATGTGCCTATGAGAGAGAGAGAGAGATGTCAATTGGGTAATCAAGAAAAAGCGAACAAAATGAAGATCATTCGAGAACAATTCTAGAGAGAGAGAGAGAGACAAATCGGGTAATACAGAGGAAACCAAAATGAAGAAATTGTGTAATGATTACTTACCCAAAATGAAATCTCTGTAATGGTATCTTGACTTCAACGCACTTGACTTCAACACAGACAACTACAATTCTAGAGAGAGAGAGAGAGAGAAATCAGAAATGAAGAAACAAACAAATTCAATATACAATTCTAGAGAGAGAAAAGAAAGCAGAATGAAGACACAGATTGCTTACTCGAATGGTATCTTGAAAATCCCCAGAGCTCTGCAAGATAGACTGCGACTGACGGACAAAGAGAGGTAGAGAGAGGGGTCTGGAGAGAGAGGATATTTAAGATCAAATGGTATTAGAGAGGAGTATCCATTCAGACGTTATTAAAACTGTTTTTACCAAAACTGTTTTTCCCGCCAAAACGAATCTGTTACATACACACACACACACACATATATAATAAGAAAGATGATGTATAAATTCGCGCTCTCTCTTATCTTTTTCTCAGTCTAAATGACAAATTTGCCCCCCTACTTGTAAGCCAGAGACACTTATGTCTTTTTACTCTAAATGACAAATATGCCCCCCTACTCCGCCCCGTTAAAAATATGTCATACCAACTCCGTTCCTACTCTGGAACGTATTTATAATTGTTATACCATCCCCGCCCCTACTCCGGTAGACAAAATATCGACTCCACCCCATGAACTTCGTTTAATTGCGGGGTCCAACGGGGCAGGTTGGGTTATGCCACTTTTATTATGTAAAAAAAAAAAAAAACTCAATGTGCTAAAATGGGGCTGATAAATAAGATGACCCAACTTTTAAATTACTAAGTAGTGAATATTAATATATTAACAGATACTTTCAGCAAAGTAACAAGAGTTTTAAAAATATAAAATATATATTTTATATATAAAAAAAATTAAAGGGTACATATTTAATCGGGGCGGGGTCATCACTAAATTCGTCCCCATCTTAAACCCGTTTCAGGTTTTCAATTATTTTATCATACTTGTCCCAAACCCATTTAAGGGCCACTAAATGTACCCCATTAGGGGGCGAGGGTAAGGTGGAAACCCGTAGGGTTGGAGGAAACTGTCATCCCTAACCACTACCTTCCACCACAACCACCACCGATTTTCACCATCACCAACACCTCCTTGTCTTCCACCACCATCACTGCCACTGCTACCATAGTTGCCACCTTTAACCAACACACCGCCGCCACTTCCACTGCCTTTAGCCACCGCTACCTCAACAGTGGTTGCCACCACCACTGCCACTGCCTTTGATCACTACCACCTTCGACCACTACCTTCCACCACCACCACCGCCACCATCGTCAGCGTCACCATTACCACCACCACTCATGCCACCTTCTACCACCATTGCTGCCACCACCATTGTTGCCTTCCACCACCATCACACCGTCGTCGTGTGACGTCCCGGATTTTTCGGTATTTTTCTAATTTTTTATTTTCATTATTTTTTGGCACCTCGATTTGCGTGTTATGCACTGGTTTGTGCGCTATGTGGGTTCTGAGAGTCTTTTCGAGTATTTCTTTGATTTTAGAACTCCTGAGATTCTTTCCGATCTATTTCTGTGTGGGTCCGGGGTGACCTAAATGCACGGGAATGGCGAGGGCCTAAGTGAAAGTCATTAGAGGGTGTTATTATCATATTTTTAGTGAGTTGTTACCTTAGGGCAATTTCATGAAAGTTGCTTGGAGGAAGGGAGTAATTAGTTATAGAATTTTGGGGTTAAGTGGCATAATTAGAGGAAAGCTATGAGGAGAGTATATATATAAGAAGTTTGCCTAACTCCCTCCACTATTTATCATCTTCCTCTTAAATGGACGAACTAAATAGGTCTCATGGATTACTTGAATAGAAAACTTAGATGGGTAAGGATTATGGCCCATGAGTGCATTTAATTATAATGTTAAATATGTAAATTAACCTAAGAAACAAAAAAGTACAAAAAAAAAAAAAAAAAAAAAAAAAAAAATGCAAAACTGTGATACGCAAATCATTGTGATAAAAAAGGATTAAAAAAACAAATAATATATATATTTTTAAGTACAGGTTTTTATTGGTTTAATAAAATAAAATAAAAAGGAAAATTAAATGAATTCAAGCAGAGTTTTATGATATGTATCAATTAGTTCGGTCCATGCCCCGAGTTAACGAAAATCTGCTATGTATCTAGCGTTCAATTGCCATGCAGTAAATATTGGAGGGACTCAATTGATGTCGGATATTTGATAAAGAGTGCAATTAGAGTTGCTTATTGGTTAAGGGAGATCAGATTAGAACAGAAAAGGTATTCTGTGTGACTGGTGCACCGAATATATCAGAGTTGTTCGTGCACAATATCTGTGGATGAATGTACACGAAAAAGAACGATTCAAATTACTCGATACACGGTTCACTAAGCATACTGAATATATTCTCTCTTCCCCGTATGTTGAAAGAGTCTATGAAAATCAAGACTGTAGCGAAAATTTCAGTTCGTTTTATGGCATTAAAGGATAACAAAAGTGAAACGGGGTGGCAGATCTGGCCTATATGGCTTGAGGATGATGTGTGATTGGATTGTAATCATTTGGCTTTGTAAACTCGGATCTGCCATTTTCATTATATGATGTGTGTTGCGCCCTAGGAGCAAGGGGAACTTGAACACTTGTATTCAGAAAGTTGCGTGCTTTATCAATTAAGTCACTGAAGTAATGCCGATGGACTTCGATTTGAATAAAAATCTTCATTTATACTCCAGCAACATGTTATCTATTTATTTTTGTGCATTGGGTTACCTTCAGCCCAATTAGGACCAGTCCAACAATTAATTAGGTCCATTAGTAATTTGGACATCGGTTTACAAAATTGAGATTTTGAAAAATTCATTCTGAGAAAGCTCATGGGTTTACAACCCATTATATTGAGTAGGACCAGCCCAACAATAAATTAGGTCCACTATTAATCTGGGACATTAGTTTACAAAATGGAGATTGAAAAATTCATTTAGAGAAAGCTTATGGGTTTACAACCGATTATATCAATTCGATGGACCCAAAATTTAATGGGCCAGTAAACTAAACATTATAGGACATGCTATATACGTTTTGGCACTAAAAAAACATGGTTGGTTGTATTAGTCGATACGCGACCATTTTTCATGTTCGATACGCGATCTGTATTAATCAATTAAGTTTTATTTTGTTCAAGTCCGTTATACCATGATCACGACCGCTACCGTTACTTCGACCTATGAAAGGAAATGTCACAGTAAACCTCACAAGCATGAATTGATATAGATCACAATACCATTGGGTGGAAGAAAGTACCACAATCAACAACATAGTCCATCAATTTGTAATCCTGTGCTTGTTAGACAGACACAGAACAGAAAGTATAAAAATTGTTAATCCTCCTTGATGAAGAAGTATCACCAATTAATTAAATGCTGTCACGATAGGAACTACTAAATATGAACGTGCAGTTTAGAGCTAAATATAAGTAGCAATATTTTAAAATTTAAAATAGTGTAAAAATAAATATTTTATAAAATAAATAAAAATTGCATAGACTTTTAATAACAAGTATAAAATAAATATAGATTTGTTTCTATATACATATACACTTCTGCCCCATTTAAAAAAATTATGTGACTTGTATTCATTCATGCATATGCATTTTCAAAAAATAAGTGTCATGATGCATTCCTTTTCAGTGACCTTATCCATTGCGATTGAGGTCAACAAGCCTTCCAAATTACAATTGTTGCTTTGGGTTGGGCTAATTACAAAAACCTAAATTAAGTTACAAAATTATTTTCAACATGCATTATTATCACGTTTCGTACACTTCTTCTCCGACTATGATTAAGTTTTACTATTTTAACGCTTTTACTTTATGTGACTTAAATTAAAATCTATTTTACTATTGGCAATTTGGCATTAGGTGGGTCATCGACCTCATTGACATCAAGCCTCAAAGTATTGCAAGTGCACTCTTATTGATGGCAGATTTTTGTTAGAGTGCATAAGAGTTGCTTTGAATATTTTATCAGTCTATGAAAATCAAGACAGTTGCGAAAATTTCAGTTCATTTTATGACAAAAGTAATATAGTGTGGCAGATCTGGCCTTTATGGCTAAATTTGTTATGGTTTAGTGAACTCGGATTTCCTCCCGCGTCATTTTCATTGTTACACCATTTACGTACCAACTTCATTTCATATAACAATTTCTTTATATATATATATATATATTTATTTATTTATTTATCGCAATACAATGTAATGAAATACATTACAGCGTTACCCAACAGCTTTCATCCCTTATATATTTGACACGAGATTCTTAGCTGTGTTTTGTCTCCCATTCGACCGAAAATTTAAAAGGCATGCTCGCCAGATATTTATTTTGCCATTATTTTACAATTACCATGCTTTTTTGAACCGTTCATAACATATCCAAATTTCAATTTTGACCCAAATATATATATATATATATATATATATATATATACATTTTACGATAGCTCTCAGAAATTTAGTTTAGATCTAATAAAAAAAAACGATTGAGTGTCTCAGGGTCAAGTCGCAAATTCGAGTATTTTGAGTTTGATTCTCACAAGGTACAAAAACATTCGGATTTAAATAATATGTATGATTTGTGAGTGATTATACATATTCGAAATTTACCTTTCAACCTCGTGTCCCAAAGATGACCAAGTTAAAAAGGGTAATTAATTTCGAGTCTGTCAAGTTCCGTGGGGGTGGGGGATTATTGACTAAATTATTTTAATAAATTTTTGTCAATTCTTATTAAGATATAACAATTAAAAGTAGGTTTTAATTTGATTAATAATAATATTTCACTCCTCATACTCCCAGTTTTGAAATTTGAACTCTTACGAATCTCTAATTATTATAAATTAACCTTATTAAAAAAAAAAAAAAGGGTTTTAAGTACTAATAAGAGAAATGATATTTACATTCCACATTCATACTGGCTACTGCTACATTAAATGTTGAGACACTTCTAGAATGCGAGAGTATTTTTTAGGGATTATTTTTCATCATTTTTTTTAATTTAATTTTTTTTTTTTTTAGCGAAATGTCCTACTAAATTTCTTTTTATGTATGACCGGTAAAAAGATATAGATCGAACCAAATAACTCTCACTGGAAAATTAAAAAATAAAATAAAATAAATTTTGGAGCATTAAATAATTATGAGAGAAATTTTAAGAGAACTTAAATGTTATACTAGTTGTAGTTTAATGCATTCTTTTTAAGTCTTTAATTCGGATATATTAAGTAAATTTTTTGAAAAGAAGTAATTCGAAATTGACAATATTACCATAACGATTAAGAGACGGGGTGTGTGAAATGATGGATTGTACGTACACTCTTCTTAAAGACAAATTGTAGCATTGCTAAAAGAAAAAGAAAAAAACTACATGCACTTACAGTTGTTTGTATCTAGAAGTTATTCGTTTCAAAAAAAAGAAAATTCAAACGAATATATGACATTGCAAGTACTTGCTTAAATAACCAACCACTTTTGCCACAATTTTTAATTCGAAAAAGCAGTTAGTGCAAGGACATGTGTATTTAAGGCCCCCAACCGCTTTATGACATTTCCCTCCAAATTCAATAAATCCCACCTCCCTTATTTACACAAGTGGTTGGCTGTTTAAGTAATCTTGAATATCAATGTGGGCCTGCATTCACATCTACCGGCGCAAAGGTTAGTTGAATGAGATTGTTAACCATCTCAAAATATAATAATAATTACACATTAAATATAAATAGAGTTTTTATTAACATTTCATTTTTACGTGATTAAAAAGCACTTGTCAAGAATATTAATGACATCATGACTATATTAACTCTATTCACATAAATCAGTTAGAGTTGTCTAACGAATTCTAGCGCCATCTCAGTTTCTACTGAACGAAATAATTGCACAGCAAGGTCCACCTCATTGTTCAGCGAGCCTTGTTTTGAAATTGAACAAAATTTACTTCAAATTTGAATTAAATTTAGTCAAACTTTAGTTCCAAATTGCAAAATAGATACTCTCGAATATAGCATTTATGATATTGTCTTTGACTTAATGGCAACTTCAAAGATATTATACAATGGACTTCAAAAGAGCCAAAAATACCAAAAGAAAGAAAGAAAGCACTTCAAAAGGTAAAAATGCTTACTTAGTACATGAAGCTAATGAATTACATCCATATATGGACAAAACCCTAACTAATTGCACTTAAATGAAGATAGTAAATGACATATTTGCTCATTGTGAGTAAATGGTTGGATTTATATAAGCCACAAGGAACATGGTAAAGCTAAGGCCTTGAGAAAAAAAAATGGCTTCTTCCCATGTTCACCTCATGATCACACTGACCTCCATTTTCATCCTCACCTCTCTTTTGGCTTCTGCCTCGGCTGCTGCAACTGGAAATCCTCCACGTCCCTTCAAGCAGATCTATGCATTCGGGGACTCGTATACTGACACCGGCAACACGGGTTCAGCCACCGGCCCAAGTTCTTTCTCCTACGTATCAAACCTTCCTTATGGCTGCACATTCTTTCACCGCCCCACCAACCGGTACTCTGATGGACGGCTTGTGATCGACTTTGTATCACAAGCACTGTCCTTGCCATACTTGCCTCCTTACCGTGACCAAAAGGCAGACACATCAAACGGTGTGAACTTTGCGTTTGCAGGGTCTACGGCCATACGACATAGTTTCTTTGTCAGGAACAACCTTAGTCTTGACATCACTCCTGTGTCACTTCAAACCCAGCTCAATTGGTTCAACAAGTTCCTGGAGGCTCAAGGATGTACAGGGAACACCCCCACTCCCAAGTGCAGGGCAGCTTTTGACAATGCATTGGTCTGGGTTGGTGAGATCGGAGCCAATGACTACGCGTATACCCTTGGATCTACCGTGTCAGACACTACCATCCAACGGCTTGCCATGAGGAGCATTACCGGCTTTTTACGGGTAATCACTGCACTCAATTGTCTTCTCTTTTATCAGCAATGTCTTCTCTAATGGGGCAAATGGGCACTTTCCACACAATTCTATATGTATCTATGAGATCGTGTATGGAATTCTGTTTACTTACTTTAAATTGAGTATCTGTTTCCCTCCTTTTCCTGTTAGGATTGGAAATCCTGTATTTTACTTATCCATACGATTGAGTCCTTGGGTTTCAGAAGTAGTGTAAAAAGAAGTGCTTCGAATCATTGCTATTTGACCCGGACCTGTTCTAAAAGAGTCTGCGATTTACCCAAACAAATAAGTTATCTTGTCTTTCCCGCCAATGCAGATCCACATTCTAAGTCAACTATGAATTCATGACATATCAAGTGTATTTGTATTGATTGATTCACAGGTATTGTTGGCAAAGGGTGCAAAGTATGTTGTTGTCCAAGGTCTGCCAACAACAGGGTGTCTACCGCTTGCCATGGTACTAGCTCCTCCAGATGACAGAGACGAGATTGGGTGCGTGGGGAGCGCAAACAGGCAGAGTTCCAGCCACAACAGCATCCTCCAATCCAAGTTGCAAGAACTCAGGAAACAGTTTCCTCATGCTGTAATCGTCTATGCTGATTACTGGAACGTCTACCACACGATCATGAAGAATCCAGGAAGATTTGGTTTCCAAGAGCTCTTCAAAGCTTGCTGTGGATCTGGTGGCGGGCCGTACAATTTTGATGTGTTTGCTGCGTGTGGCTCACCGGCCTCGAGCTCCTGCGAGAACCCTTCTCAGTACATCAATTGGGATGGAGTTCACCTCACTGAAGCAATGTACAAGGCGGTTTCTGACTCATTTCTCAATGGATCATTCACTCACCCTCCATTCAGTTACTTGTTAAGCAGGAAACAGCAATCGGGATGAACTGATAACCATCATATTACATATGGAGTGTTAGTTGTTGTCACCATTATCTCAACAACAGAGCTAGTAGTTGGATAAATGTAGCAACTCAGTTGATATATATATATATATATATATTATTATTATTATAATACAAGCTCTCCTTGAATTTCTCAAATTAGGAGGTTTCACTTTTATTAAAGCGAGTATGCTATAAAAATGTGAGAAAAATGAGTTCGAAATATATATGAACTCCCTTTGATGGACATGCTATATTAGAAGCTTTCTTTCAATTTCTCTTATGTAAAAGTTGGAGCATATATGAACTCATACATTATATACCATGGTAGATCTAGATATATAATTTTAACACTTGAAATTTATGAAAAATGGATGGAAATTTTTTAGATTCATACGACCAGAACTTAGATTAGAAGGTTCAATTATTTATCAAACTGATAAACATATTGAAGAATCAGAAAATTGACTTAAACTTTTCTCATTTGACCAAAAAAATTGGAACAATCTACAAGGGTATGAAGCACAGAACGCTTCATAAAGAGGTAGAGATTGATCAATAGAAAAAAACTAGTGTCTCTAAAGACAAAGATATAAGCTTATTTAACAACAAAAATATATCAGCATGAACAAAAGGAATTATTGTATCAAGCAAGTCCTAAAATCCCAGTATTAGAGCATTTTCTTATTTCCTCCGTTGGTTTCAACAAGGCATTCCAGATTCCATCTAAATAGTTAGACGCAAGAGAGAGTCTTTCATGAGGGTGCCCTCAGTAGGCTTGTGCTCTCGTCACTAGAACTCGTGCCTGACGTCAACTAATGGTGATGAGGGTGCGAGTTCACTAAGGGTGCTCTCGAAACAAGATAAAAAACTACAGAGATGGAAGCAGAAGTTTACAGCTAATAAAGAGAAACGGATTAAATGACCTATGGTTATTGAAAATAGGGCTGTTAAACCAAACACAAGAAGAGCTCCTGGATAACCACCCCAGAATTGGAACTCTTCTAACTAGAATGCACATGGTTCGTTATTTTGTATGTCCTCACTATTGTGCTAAGATGTAATTTCATTAAGCTAGTTAAATGTCAAGGCAAGCGGTTATCAGAAAAACTCAAATCTGAAATCAACTCATTGTCTGATGGAACATTGTCGTCTATGTTAATTTGAATAATTTCAAAACAATAGCAAACGTTGTCAGTAGATTGACAGTCAATAAAATTTTCCTGACAGAGTGGTTGTAGTCATCACAGAATCGCCAAATATAGCAAGAAAATGAAAAGTGATCATTTCATCAAAGCTTTTCTGGATGTATATAGGGCAAATAAATATATGCAAAAGAAACCTTGCCACAATAGCTCACGATGTGAATCATTCTATGTTCAATTTATTTGATGCATCAAGGGATGAGATCCTAGGAAAGTACGATTCATGGAATTGCGTCAGCTGACAAGATCCTATTTTGCATCAGCAGACAAGGTTTAAGATTGATCTCAAATGGCTATTTCGGTGAAAAATAAGGACATTCATTAGCAGACTGGTAATACCCCATATGGTTCAGTTAAATGAATTCTAACCACAAACAGAGGCACGCCAACACGACGGCATACTAGAACCTAGAAAGCTTTATATAGTCTAGTAGTCAACCACAAACTCATTGCATTTATATTCTTTTCATTAAACCGGGTTTGAAAATTCTCTAAAAAAAAAAAAACGAAACAAAGAAAAAGATCTTTTAGGTACATGTTCAAATAAAATAATGAATAGAGGTACTATTTGCCACCTACCCAATGAAGTCCTCCTTTAGGTTAGGATATACCAAGTAATCTAAGTTCTAACAAAAGACTTCGACCAGAATAGCCAAAGCACCAGTCAGTAAGGACCCAGACTCTAATTAATTCAAGTTAAATGATCCCCTGTTAGCTTCAAGGTAAAAACAACATGTGGCTTCTAAAGAACGAGTAATGATGGAGCTATCACACAACACAACGGGGCAATAGATATAATGATAGGCGGAGAGACAAACTCAAGGACTGAGGGGTGGCAGTTTGAGGATTACTGAACCATGACAAAGACCACCCATCTTCAGACACATTAATGAGGGTTCTTTAACATACTCCGTCTTGCCGTCGATGTTCATAGGATGATCTTATGAATGTGTTATAGGATGGTCATTCCTTAACCATCGGTCCTCTGATTCTTCAAGCTATTCAAGTTCAACCACCTTTGCTCACAAGTGGTTGAGCAGAGGTGAAACGATTAATATGCATGGTTGGCATTAAAGTGGTTGTTGGTGAGTCAACCTCTACTTTCTAAGGTCTTAGATCTCTTCCATAGTACATGATTGATTACTCTCTTTACTTGAGTATGTTTAAGGCATCTCATGGGAGCACCTTAATGAGCTTTGTTTGTCAGCCACTAATCCAAAACCTACCTAGTATTTCTCATAGGACTCAAAGGATGTTAAGTCCTGCCTCCAACTTAATGTGCTACCGCTCTGCCATCCCGAGTATTTCATAGGACTTGGTATTCCCTTGAGTATGTTTAAGGCATCTGGTGGGAGCACCTTAATGAAGTGGGATACATTAGCTGAAAATGCTCTTTATGAAGTGGGATACATTAGCTGAAAATGTAAGTTCTCTGAGTATGTCAAATACTTAATACAGCATCAAATTCACCAATAATATTAGCTTGTCAACAATCACATTCTCTAAGACAAAACAGCAACAAATTTCTCATGTTTGCTCATTGCACTAATTTAATAGTAAAATAACAGATCCTTGACACATTAAAGCTTCACTGCCTTGTTGTCAATACAGAGACACTTTCAGTTTACCATTCTTTAACTCACTTATTGAGCAGCAAGGGATGCGATATTGCGTCACCTTCAGCACTCATAAGTCAAAGATGCGTTGGCTAAAATGTGGAATGGCCATTGTGTTGGTATTAAATTTTCATAATGAAAAGCAGGGGGTTGATAGGGCAATCATCCTAGGAAACCTAATGGTCCTAATCTCTAGTACAAGATTATAAATTCCATTCCAATGCATGGATTAGAGTATTGATACAAGAATCCCCACACAGAGACATACTTTACAATTACTAAGCACAGAGTAGACCTCAATTAATGTATTTTCACATCAAATCGCAAATCTGCACCTTCAGAAAATACGCCAAAAATTGTACAAAGCCAATCAGTTAATAAAGGAAAAGCAACAAAAGCTACAATTCCACTGATTTACTGAAGCAGTTGCTGTGAGAATGCATGAGAAGTATGGATTTTATAAATTGGATTAGACATTTCTTCATCATAACGCTGCAAAACTATGCCCTAATGACTATTAGCAATAAATGCAGTGTCATGTATTCAAGTACCAGCTTCAGGAAGTCAATTAAACATGCTGTTGCCCAAGAATGGACTCTAGAGGGGGGGTGAATAGAGTCCTTGTCCAACTAAAGCAAGTTTAAAGATTTGAAAAAGTATTCTTAGAATAACTACTTAAGCTGATATGCAATAGTGAGATAACAGAATCAAGTCAGATAAATCAGCATATAAATGTAAGCAGTAATGTAAAGGGGAGAGATAGAGATATTGCAAACATAGACACAGCGATTTTAGCGAGGTTTGGAAGCTCCTACTCCTCGGCTCAAGACCCCTCTTGAGACTTTCCAATCCAATATGGCTCCTCCTTACGGGTGGAGAGCAAACCTTGAAAGAAACAGTTTCTTGGCTGAGAGATTCTCTCTCAAAGTCTTAGGGGCCAAACCAGCCCTTACAGTAATTGGACTAAGAAAATTTCTTCTCCTAATCTTACAATGAAATGAATAAGTGTGTTACAACAATCTTTCTCTCACAGTAGTTCACTCTTTCTAGAGAATCCAATGATACAAATGAAGCTCACTCTCTCTAAATGAAGTATGTGTGAAAGAAGAATCTGAAGTTTAGCTTTGAGGATTAAAGAGTGGAGGGTAACCAAACTTTCTTTCTCAGTAAGATGATATGAATCACTTGTTGAAAATGAGGCTCAGAGACTTATCTTTTGCAGCTTGCTTCTCATAACATTTACAGAGCTCTTTCATAGACCATAACCGTTGTAAGCCCTTGACTTAGCCGTTGAAAGTCCTTTTCTTGATTAAGACTTGTCATGGCACATTTGGTAGAGAAGCTTCCCATGACAGAGATTCCTTGTTTGACAGAAGTGTTTAGTGCATAGGGCAGATAAGATTTGAAATCATGTGTATGATCCTTTAATAGATAAAATGGCTGTTGACATCAAGACAAGAGCTAGAAGACACACAATATGTCAGTGAACCCATGTGAGTCAAACTGCAAAAGCATAAAGAGAAGCACGGGTTGAAATATGGAGGATTTCAATGCAGATCTGGTTGACCATCAACTAAGTCGACTCAATTGTGAATTGAGTCGGCTGGGTTCAAGAACAAGTCGACTTGGTTAATAACCAAGTCGGCTAAGTTGGATAGATTCAAGATTTTCAAAATGCATAGCCTTAGCCTAATTAAGTCGACTGAATTTTCAAACTGAGTCGGCTCAGTTGTGAACTGAGCCGGCTGATTTGTTAATTGAGCCGACTGAGTTACCTTCCTGAATTTGTTGAGTCTCGGCCTAATCCAGTCGGCTGGATTGCTGACTGAGTTGGTTGAGTTCAATCTTAACCTATTTGATTGCTGCTGTGTGATGCCTCAAGATTTAGATACTTAGTGTTAATGATTGGAACTATGATATGCATGAGTGTGATGATCTGAAGTGTGTGAGAGATGAATGATCTTACAAAGAGCTTCAGATGATCTCATAGATTCTTTACATTTAGTTCCTAAGTCATTCACCAACCTTTCTACCTTATAGATAGGCTTTTATGATCTTTGAAGTTACGTACACTTCCTTGAGCCGGTTGTATCTTGATGAATGTTCCAGTGTGATTTTAGCTTCAGTGAGTTGGATACTTCCTTCCTGTCCTTATAATGTTCCTTTTGATCTGGAATTGAACTTCAATGAAAACATTAGTCCATTGAACATCATTAATGGTTTGTTATCATCAAAAGTACCGAATTGCCCTTAGGAGAAATCCGTAGGGTCAACACATGCAATAGGAAAAATTGAAACTCATGCTTATACTACTTTGAAATGAGCTCAATATATCATCCATACTACAAGTTGAAATTGGACGGCTGAAGCAGGATGGTACATATATAGAAAATATTTCGAAATTTCACTTGAGTGAGCATTTTCAGGAAACTGTTCTCTAGGAACAGGGTAAAAAAAATATATAATTTTAGAGAACACTCTTTTTCTGCTCTCTGAGAATTATTTTACGTTTCCTGTTCTTGAAAACTGCTTTTATAGCTCAAAATCAAAGAGGGGCTCACATTCTTGTCTATATTCTCCTAATTTTGTCATCACGTAAAGGTTATTATAATATCAGTAAACTCGTATGCTTCATGACTGGTTGACGACAATATAATACTGATGCAATTCCATGTATTAGGTGGTATGAGAAGTTGTATAAGCCAGGGCAGTATATATCAGAAAAATCAGAAAACATTTAACACCACAATGAAGATAAAGAGCAAAGGATCTTCCAAAAGAATGTATTTAGTTTCTTTGTTAATATAATTCGACTCTCAGGTGCTCTTAAAAGAAGTTGGTTCATTGTTTTTTGGGTTAACCGCAAACAAGCTTGCCATTGTAAGTCTTAACAAGCAATACAAAGTCTTGCACTACAAAGAAAGAAATAAAGAAAGAAAGAAAGAAAGAAAGAGATTTACTTTTACCAATCACAGTTGCAATTGGTGCACATTGCTTGATAGCCGTTTGGCAAAACCATTTTGGTGCAAGGCTCCAAGCAGATCCCACATTCATCTTCTTTCTACAATCACCATCTAAATGCTTCCTCTTCCCATCTAATATCTTCTTGGGGATCATCTCCAAGCTCTGACCTTAATCTTTGGCAATATCCAGCTCTGATGAATTACCACGGAGATGCTGAAGAGAAAGGTAAAATCACAGCTGTAACATTGCTTCCAATAGTTTATGCAGAAATAAGGAAAGACAAAAAAAATATATAATTCATTCAAATCTGTTTATATAATGAGATGAGGCATACCATGAAATAAGCTAAATAAACATGCTCAATGAATCAACCTACATTCATTCAAATGCACAAAATCGATGATTTCATGTCTGTGTAATGTTGAATTTCCCCGATAGAAGGGGATTGTGTGGCTAGGGGAACTAATATTTTAAGAGCTTTAAGCCACCGTCTTATGTGGTTTGCCGGAAGGAGAGGAATAGGCATATTTACAATCTGTGTTTATTTTTGGCTTATTGGTTCATTCTGAATTCTTTAGGTTCTTTTGTAAATTCTATAGGTGATAGGTATGACTTCTTCCTATAAAGCTTAATTTTTTGGGAGATCTGGTGTACATGTACTATGCTGCACCCTATTTGCTGGCTTCCAGAATAGTTATGCTAATAAAGAATAAACAAAAAATAAATACATAACATATGAAATTACGGTAAAAAAAGCCAAAGTCGAGAGGGAACGCTATATCTACCCAAACCAAATGATTGCTAAGTGCCATGGATTCAAAGAGACAGCCGGCCAGAGCACTTGCCATTCATTGGAACTTTGAGTTCGTAATCGTGTGTGGAACAGTAGTGCTAGAGAGAGTAGGCCAAGGTAGCTTGCTAACTCCAAGATGGTTTGCATACATAGAACCTTAATGGTTGTTTTCCTCCTGTGTGAACAGCTAATCGGCTTCCCATCCGCACACACCTGAAGAATAGAAGACATCAACCACGGACCAAAGTTATTGTCTCTTCATTTGAAACATATGATAATCTCACCTCCCAAAAGAGAACAAAAACTAGAAGTTAAAAGTGCTTGTTTAAAAAAAAAACACTAGTATGCAAGTAGCGAACTGACATTGTAAACAACTATTTGGAAGAGACTTAAATAATTTGGAAGTGACATATACACAAGCAATCCGTTCATCGGAGCCAAATAATAAATAAATAAAGAGTGCAAAGTGATTATAGACGGATTTCATTTGAAGACTTATTCAAATAGAAGCTGCCATGCAAACATAATGCAAACCAATCAGCAATAAGATATCACTTTAGATGCTGTTTATGTTAGACTCTCTTGCAGCTGAGGCGGCGACATTGCGGCAAGCTTTGATCTCGGTTCTTGACTGGGGCTTTGAATCTATTATTTTTTAATGTGATTCTGGCACTTTGGTTAAGGCAATTAATGGTCAAGTTTGTGCTTTTTGGACCATGCAAATTATTGTGGAAGAAATCTTAGACATCCTTAGAGCTATTCTGAATAGTAGGCTTGATTATGTTCCCAGGGAATTTAATTTTGCAGCCCATTTGTTCGCTGCTCATGTTAGATCTAATTTTCTGGTTTGTTCTGATTTGTTGGAGGTCCATAAGGATCGTTCTCGTTCTTCAAGTTTTTTATGAGATTCTTTAATTTTCCCCCAAAGAAAACAAAAAATCAAATTAAATTCCCAAGAGTACTTACCGGGAAAAAAAAATCCCAAGAACCATATACCATTTTGAATTTTCAGAGAAACTCACTAAGATAACATTATCATACAGCCTCAATCTCAGTCGCATAACTAAGACAAACAACAATTCAACAAAGAAAGAAACCGACTAAATTACCAAAAAAAGTAGAAAACAGAAAACCAATTATATTAGATGATGAAAACTAAATTCCCAAGAATAATTAACAAAAAAAAAAAAAAAAAACAATCCCAATAACACTGTTTTGAATGTTCATAGAAACCCACTTAAATAACAGTATCACACAGTCTCAATCACATAACTATGACAGCAATTCAACAAAGTGACAAAAAATAATAATAAAAATATAAAATAAAATAGAGTAAACGAATTTAGGGAACCACAGAACAGAAACTCACAATTGGCATGCATATGAGTCAGTCTCAAGGACCTCGAGCGAATGTTGGGAGGAAGGCAACCCCACTCTCTCTCTCTCTCTCTATATATATATATATATGTGTGTGTGTGTGTGTATATATCTCTCTCGCCTGGGTTCAACAGTAAATAGTTGAGGCCACTCTTTGAAATACAGTATTTAATTTTTTTTTTGTGTGTGTTGTCCCTCATTTGGACTCTTGTTACAGTATTCTACCACCCAAATTGTGTAGAACAAAAAAATAATAAAGCTAATCTCCTCCGCATCCATATATTTTTCATGTTGTCCCTCATTTTGACTCTCATTCCAACTTGATTCAAGCATATCTTTGCATACATACACACACATATATATCCAATAAAATCTATTCAAAAATCCTTGAAAGAAGCAGAAGGTGGCAGTAGACATCCATCAAATGGAAGAAACAGTAAAAACGAGTTTTTCTGATTGATACGAATAAATTAACTAACAATTCTCAAATTTTATCGATTTTTTGAAATGGTGTGAATTTTTTCTTTCGGTTTCGAGTTACGAAGCAATATCTACAGGTATATATACACACAGTGTATGTGATTGAGTAGGGATATAAAGAGTCAATAGCTAAAAGATTAATTAGGAAAAAATGAATTGAATTCTGAAAATTTGCGTACCAGCGAAGGAGACAAGTGCTTTAAACTCTTTCTTCCTCCCACGGCTCGGATGCCCTTAGTACTCTCTCTCTCTCTCTCTCTCTCGACCATACACGGAACAGGCTCAGCCCCACGGTGCAAAGTTTTTCACCTCAATGCTGGGACGTCGGGAGTTCGAATCGCCTTATGGGCATTCTACGAAATGTTTTCGGAATTGTCCCATGCACGTGAATGTTCACCTAATGCTAGGATGTCTGGAGTTCAAATCGAGGTGGGGCAGTTTACGAAAAAAATTCGTAATTGCCCCGTGCACTTGGAATGATGGAATGAGAGAGATTGCAAGTAGATTATTATTGGGTTGGGTGTTCTAAGAGATCCAATACCGTTATAATTTCTTTTTTTTAAAAAAAAATGATACAATTTGGATTCGACTGAAAAATACTCCAAACAAACATAAGCTAGGTAAAAATCGATCTGAACCTTTAAAATACTTGGTTCAACAATTATCATATCAATCTGTCAAAAATGATACGAACTTTTATATTTTTTAAAACATAAAATGTGTAAGTTAGAATAAAATATCAAAATAATATGTTGTCGGTCAATATATTTATGGAACTTTGTTTGAGATTAATTTTATGAGTTCCAGTGCAATCTTACCAATTTTGTTACTTACTTGTAATTGAGATTAATTTCAACTCAGAATCAGTTCAAATGCAGAATCGCAAATAATCTTAAAAATACTTTAACCGTTCAATGAGGTTGTTTCAATTATGAAAGCACAAAATACATTATTAAAATAAATTTGAACAATCGAAATCGAGTTTCGCAACATTTTTTCTTTTTGGTTGAATATGGTTTAAGTTTAATGGAAAACAATAAACATGTCCAATTAAGATTTTTTTTTTTTTTTTTTTTTCTTTTTTTGGGTTAAGGGCAAAGAACTCCCTCATTATATACAAGATGTGCAAAAAAAACCCTATTATTTTAATTTGTGCAGATGAAGACATTATGTCAATTTAACAATTGAAATGTCTAAACTAGTCACCATAAAAGAATAAAAATAAATAAACAAATTGTTTTTGCCCATAGTGGATTGAGTCTTGAATATCATTGAAGTGGTAACCAACTTCTAAACCGAAGGGAAGCTCGTTAGAGGTTATAGCTTCAGTTTAAGATCTCTAATGCTTCGTTTGGATTGAGGGATTTAGAGGAATTTGGAGAAAAAAGAAAAAAGAAATATAGTGTTAAGTGTGTTTTGATGGAGAGAATAGAAGAGAAATAAAGGACTGGGAAGGATTTGGAGGGATGGCCCTCAAATTCCCTCCAACTAAATCCTTCCACTTTTGAAAAGATTTGAGGAGAAAGGAAATACTTTAAGTAAATTTTTCATTAAAGGCAAAATTAGCCTTCAACATTCACACCTAGTTTTAACACAAATCTACAAATGATGACATCATTTAATAATGAAAAGATTCACATCATTTCTTAAAAAAAACCTTCAAACAATTACTTTTACAATTTTTTTTATTGGCCAAGGTGGTTCATTTTGAATTTTATATTTATGTAAAATATCATGTGTCAAGTTCTTATTAATTTAAATTACGATAATGTATAGAGTAGTTAACTTAGAGGATCATTATAAAAAATAAAAAAAATTTACATTCAAAAAATAAATAATCTGAAATCTTATGTTAAATACAAAATTATCTTTATTATTGAGAGAATTGTGTAAAGTTTAGAAACAATGTTTATTTGATTGACATTCTTAAATATAAGTTTTAAAGATTTGAATAAAACATTTGAAAAAAGGATTTCGATTTGTAATTTTTTAAACCAGAATGGAGAGGTACTCAGCCCAAAAATTTGTCCCGTTGTCATTGGGCCACTAGCAGTGGTGAGCACTCTGGTTTAATTTCTAATTGGGCCTTATTCTATCAGGCCCAATAAGAACGACGTCGTATACCTAAATTTACAAAGCCCCACCACCAAAATCCGAGTCTTGGTTGGTACGTACCTTGACCACTTCAAGACTCCGATGACGCAATGACAAAGACTGCTTCCCTCGGTAGAGAGAGATTCTCTAGAGAGAGAAACAGAGAAGCACAGAGAGCTTAATTTGTTCTCGAGAGAGGTATTCCGTATTCAACGAAGAGGGAAAAACCTACGCACAGTACACACAGATAGGGCTTTGCAAAGGTTCTCAGTATGTGAGCTCTTTTCTCGCACTTTTAACTCCTACTTTTTCTTCATATATATACACGTGTGTTATGCTTTTGCTTTTTATTAGAGTCATCTTAAAATTATCTAATTAGGGTTCTAGTGACCTTGATTGGGATCATAGGTGTGCATGCACACTATGCCTGTAATCTTGAATGATCAAACTTTTTGTGTTGTCGATTTCGAGTTCTTTCCCTGTCAGTTCCTATATTGTAATTTTCACACACACACACACACACACACACACACACACACACACACACATATATAAGTGGAGCATGCACAAGCACACTATGAAGTAAATACCAAAGGGGACTCAAGTTAAATCGCCAATATAGGTGGATGAGGAGGTACAATTTGAGCTGAAAACTAGGTGGCGTGCTTTCAAGTTTCAAGTTTCGTGAGTGGTAATGGGAGGCACTTTTTCATATTTTTAAAAAATTTTAATTATTATTTGTTAAGTATATATCATTGAAAGAGCCTCACGAGGGCATCCCGAAGCAACTGCACAAAAGCCAAAAGAGAATAATGGGAGGCACTTCATTGCATATGTTGAGCAATAGCTGACCCAGCTTTACCAATTTCATACATTAGGCATTGTTAGACTTGTTTGTATATTTTGTATTGTTGTCTCATAAGTCAGATTTTCTTTCTTTGCTTCTTTTCCTTTTCATTAATTTTGCTTCACACAAAATATGTTTAAAATTTGCAAGGGTTTGCTGCAGAGACGAGATGGGTTGCAACTTAGAAGCATGTGCAGAGTGCACCGAGAATTGTCTATTGATTCATGGGAAGAAGAATGACCCGTCACCCACCATTACCTCGTTTTTTAAAGTCATGATTGGCGATGATTTTTCTAAAGTTATGGTATAACTTCACATCTCCTTTTTTTTTTTCTCTCTCTCTCTTTTAGTTAATTTAATTAATATGTTGCTTTATATGATTTTAATGTTGCTTCTCTGTTATTTTTCTTCCTCTTACTTATTACACATGGATTCACCAATTTCTTCTTTCTATATATCCACTATTTTTTTGATCTTACACTTCTTTTAACAGGCTCTTTTTATCATTTTTTTGCTGGTTAAATTTATATCTCAAAGTATATGTTTGTTTACTTTTGACCTTTGGTATTGATTTTTATTTTACTATTTATTGCATAATCTAATGCCTTTCAATGTTTAATTTTGAATTTGTTCTATGGCTACATGAAATGGAAAATTTTAGTTTTCGTTAAATGGTGGATCTCCCTTTCATAATTGCCATTTTTTTAGGAAAGAAGGTATTTTGTGTGTTGCACATGCTTATTTGGGCCTGGAAATCAGCATTGGATTTGATCATTATTTAGCTTGATTTGTTGTATGCTAAAATCTTTGGCACGGTAAACAATCTTGTTGTAAGATTGAGACCACAACTGGTTTTGCCGCATCATATGATGTCAATTTGTCGCATCAACAATTGTGGTTGGACAAGTTTGAATTTGTGGTATCGAGATACTATTAACTATTGGATGTTGCGTGCCATTAAGTAAAGCATATTGTGTTGAACACTTTGAATTACTAAACAGAATCTAACGTTGGTATTGTATATAGTTAAATTTATTTTTCATCCTTTTTTATACAAGTTTTGAATATATTATTGAAAGAAGGAAATAGTTGAGGATGAGAGAGGGGGAAGGAAACAGTTCTGAACTGGCTTGAACTTTCTTTCTATCAAAGATTCTTGGCGTGCGATGCATATGCTGTGTTTTCTTTGTCTTTTCATACTAGAGAGATGGGTCCTATGAACTCTGTGGGAGGTTCTTTAATGTACTGTGATAGGAGAGGAGTTTTCTGGTTACGATTTACGAATAATTGATTACTAATTATTATCAAAGTCAAATTACACAAGCCAAACGAAATAGTGGGAATCAAATGAATGCCTAGTCAGTCTGTGAAGTTGCAATTTATAAAAATGTTACTACATTTGTTTGACACGGAGATATATTCCAGTTCAAACTAAGGACTTGTTTATCTGAGAAGCTAAGTGGATTGATTGTTAATTATTTTATGGGTTAAATACAGTGACCTTCTGTGTGAGGTTTTTCCAATTGCACGTGGATGAAACTTTTGAAAAATCTTGCAATTACCTCTCCTCTGATGAATAGTGGCTTACTGACGTCAACTTTTTGGGTGATTTTACTTTTTATACCCTGAATATTTTAACGTTAAATTTGGAAAAATATCCTATCTCGTGTAGTGGCAACTTTGTCCACACTTATAAAAGCAACACTTGGGCTTTTCTGTTCACACTCTACCCCCAACGGTTTCAACCTCCTCCTGCCGTCGCCACCACCACAACCATCTCTCTCCTCTCTCCCTTCTTTAGAAAACTAGTTTCTGACTCCCATTTTTTCATAGGTTTGTACAACAAAATGGGATCCTGTGATGTAATACTAAGAAACCTCCAACTTCCAGATCATGGTCCAATGAGAAAGCATGCCATCCCTGCTGGAACACAATGGAGCCATTAATATTGGATATTGTTACTATCCACCATTGCCCAATTTATCCTCAAGATGGGTTTTCTGACCAACTAATTCTGATTTTCAAATCCCAGTTCATAATTTAACCCAATCATCTCTCTCTCCTCTCTCCACTCCCTCTCTCTCCTCTCCACCTCATCCCACCATACTCAACATCTTTGTCCATCCCTCCAATGAGAAATTTCTGAATTACAGCTCATTTCGGCCGACCCACGATAGTAGAAACTCGCTCGGAATAACGTTGACTGAACAAGAAGTTAACAACAGGTGCGTCACATTCCGGTAATTCATGGCCCAAGTTTTGATTTTCGAAACCCAGTTCATAGTTTTGATCATGTCTAGAGTTTTCTTCATTTTTTTTTTTTGTTTTTTTGAGAGGTCATGTCAAAAATTTTCAATATAACTCAGATATTGATTGTGTAAAACATAATAATTTTAGTTCTAATTATGGGGTTGTTCAAGATGTAGCTGAGTCTGATTCCATGAATGAATTGAAATTATAAAATTTGGGTGAATATGTTCTGTGGAACAAATTTGAAGGTTGGGTTGATCAGTATGAGAAGGATTTAGAGTATTGTGGCATTGGGTTTTTACCTATATTTACTAATTTTCAAGATTCAGATGGTAATGTCAAAAGGGCTGTTGTTAATGAGGAAGAAATCTTAAGAAGTGGAATTGAGCCTTCGTTGTATAACCAGAGTGAATTTGAGGACTTAACAGGAGTGAAATCAAAGATCTCTCATGCAAAAATTTTAGCTAGAGAAATAGAGAGTGGGAGTTGCATGTTTCAAAGAATGAATTTTTTGGGCAAAGAAATTAGATGATAAATTGACATCACGCGGATATTCTAGTACTTTGGCTACAAAATCCATGAATTTCTTTAATAAAGTTCGGGAAATCAGAGCAATGGAAAGGTATGCACATGAGATCCTTTTTCCAAGTGACAACAATGAAGATGATCTAACTGTGTGGCCTAGGAAAAAAATTGTCTAACTGTGTATGTAAATATGGGTTTATATATCTTGTTCTCTTCAGTTCAGTAATTCATTGTTCTTGCTCAAATCGGGTGTAGGTGCATGGCTTACCAAGAACAATTATATATATGGTAATAGAGTCATTTCAGATGAAGGGATGCGCATTTTGGTCAGACCATGCAATGTTTTGGACGAAACTAACGGTTTTTGGACAGAGGGAGGTATTTGTAATAATGAGCCAAAGTTGAGGGGAACATGGTGCAAATTTTTTCAAAAGTTTCATCCATGTGTTATTAGGGCAATCCTCAAGGGTGGTCATCGGTCAATGTATTTAACCCTTTTTTATTTGGACTAAAGTATATTCTTTTCCTTCAACACAGTTGCACTTGTTTAGTTGGGTTTTTCTGTTGACTGCATCAATGTTAAATAATATTCTAGATTTTGTTACGAGTATCTGGATGTGCATGAGCTGAATCAGTATGAGATGGATGAAGTCACTTCTCTGTTTTTGCATTGGAAAGGACCTTAATGGCAATGATGTACATACAGGCATTTTCAGTTCTGGAGCTTTTCTTTACTATCCATAAATCTTTTCTAAATTGTGCCATTCTTTTGCAGTTCTTGCCTCCTAAATTTGCTCGAACTGTGTCAGCTTTGGTTGGTCAGAAAACTCATCTCGAGGATGCAATTGGGCGGCGTTGGATAGTAACAGTATCCAAGATTAATGGCTCCATTGCCTTTCAGAAGGGATGGCATGGTTTTTCATTGGACCATGATCTGGAAGTTGGGGATTTCTTAGTATTCAATTACATCAAAGGATCCCATTTTGTTGTTCAAATATATGGGAAAACTGGGTGTCACAAACCAGTTTTCTCTGAAAAGAGCCATGGACGTAATGGTCCAGCGGCTGAAGCAATTGATATTGGTGTGGCTGAAGCAGTTGAAAGTCGGGTAGCATCTTCTGAAACATCACACTTTTCAATGAATTCAAGAAATGATGATTCTGCGAGAATGGATAAAATAATATTCATGTCTAGAAAAGATTCTGGCAGTGGAAATACCTCTGGACATCTCCTGGATACATCTGCTGCAGAAGCTGCAAGAAATAGAAATAGCCATACTGAGATGTCGAATATGGTTATAAAAGAATGCCAGAATGCTAAGAAGAAGAGAGTTGCACGATCAAGTTAGTTACTTTATTAATTATGTGTGATCTTAGAAGTCCTATGTGTGTGTGTGTGTGTGTATATATATATACATATATATATATTTGTTTTATCATTTCCTGTATCATCATTATATATATATATATATATTTTTTATTTTTATTTTTATTTTTTATTTCCCTCACATTAAAAATGCTGAATCATTAGCAGGCAGTCATGGAGTGTTTCAGAAGGAAGGTACTTCCCTCATGGAAGGTAGTCCAAGTGTCCTGCAGAAATATACTGGATCTTCAGAGTTCTGTGACCTTCCAGTCTCTATTGCAATGCAGAATTGTCAATTTGGTTCGTGTTCCGTCCTTGTTACCAATTTGCATGGTGGTTTGTTGGAGCAGGATTCTGCTGTTTCAAAAGCTTCAAATAATCAAATTTTATTTCATAAATATTGTATTTGATCTTTATCCAATAAATACGAATTAATGGCTATATTAAACAGGTAAAAGGATGCAAGTGGTTGAAAAAGAGAGAGAAATGTGCAGTCATGAGGAGACGAGACATGGTATCATTTTGCTTTTACATTTTTATTTCGTTTAGCACACAAATGTGCACACCTTAAGTTTTCCATCTCAGTATCAAATACTTGAATGAAATACAGGGAGGCAACCAAAGGTCATCAATGAGTGCGGGCAAGGTTCAAGTTCAGCTATAAAAGATAATAATAAAGGAGACAAAGTGTTGAAAACTGAACCTGTTGATTCGATTGTTTTTTCCTCACTGGGTGCCACCAGTTCGGTGGTGGGAGATGGTCAATCATTTCTTGTATGTTACTCATTTACTCATTCTGCTCAATGTGTTTGCCTTTGTGCTCTGTTTTTCTTGCATTTTTTTTTTCTTTTTCTATATTCAAAACTATATAGCTGAGTCAAGAATAGGTTTCCAGCACAAAGTTATTCTTTGCTGGCATATTATTTTTTTTATTTTTCTTTTGTTAATCATATCATTTGGTAATAATTGTTCTTTGAGTTATGTTGTTCCCTTATTTATGTTATTTGTGAGGAATAATCTGCCTTAATTCAATCCTTGTATGTTGATTACCTTTATTTTCTTGAACAAGCACGGTAAAGAAGTTAGTCTAAGATTGTAGGCTTAGATTGAAAACCTTGGATTAGAGGAACATTGACAGGTAAAGGGATGAAGTTAGTAGACTCTACCACTAGAAGAAAGTTCATATAGTTTGTTTACAGTAGACTAAGAAGGTATGAGAGAAAGAGAATTCAAAATCCATGATATAAACTTTATTGCATTGGAAAAGATAGAGAAAAATGGTGTAGGGATAGTCTTAGATAAGAATTTAAAAGACAATGTTGTTAGAATTATTAAAAACGCGAATATGATGATATTTGTAAAACATATTGAAGCATTATTTTTTTTATAAATATATTAAATCAGAATCTTGGGAACATATTGATGAATTAATTCATAAAATACTTGAAAGATATATCCTTTATTATGGAAGACTTTATTGGTCATGTGGGAAAAGATCTTGGAGTATATGAAATAATACATAGGATAACATCATATACCCTAAAGGGGAACATCATTTACGTGGTTGCATATAATCTTATGGTAGCAAGAATGACACTTAGGCCTCTAAAGGCGGATAAAAATGTGTTAGATTATTCTTTTCTAAGTAGAAAAGGAGATGCAAAGATTGTAATATCACTCTAGACGGGAGTTTAACATCACTACATTGGTTGATGGTCTTACATGTGTATTAAAGGAATATCAATGAAGAGAATAGGATATTAAAAGAAATGACATGGAATTTAGAATGTGAAACTAAATCATTGTTGAATAAGATGGCTGAAAGTATTAAAAGAACAGCAAAAGAGATCCCTAGGAAATTGAAAGGAAGAGGCCTTTATAAGGAAATTTCATGATGGAATGAGAACAAACCATCATAAAACAAAAAGTGAGTATTGTAAATTTTGGCCAAAATTTAGAAATGGAGAAACTTTTTCAAAATACAGATATGCATAGATATGGGTTAAAATAGTTGTGAGAGCAGCTATGTGTAGAGCGTTGGATGATATTTATTATAATCTAGGTATAAAGGACAAGAAGAAGAAAACATACACACTTGTTGAGGGAGAGGATAGATAGATAGAGATTGTATCATTATCAAGTGCATCAAAATTGAGGGTCTAAAGGTTTTAGTCAAAGATGATACTGCTAGTATTTGTGTCTCAAATTCTCTCAATAATTAGGTTTCCTTTTTTGAGTCATATTATGTATGGTACTATAATAATTTCCTGTAAGGTCTGGTCTCTAAGGAAATGTAATCCTTGGCTACTAAAAATTTGGTTTTTTGGTCTCTCTCTAGATTATTGTTGCGAGGAGTTCAAAGAGAGTTAAGTTGAGAGAGAAGAAGAATGTGTGTAGTAATCTTCATATTTGAAAAGAGAGAAAGTCATTCTTCGCTCATGAACATAAGCAATTTGTTGAAATACTGGACGAAAGGGATTCAATTCCCAACAGATAAATTAGAGAATTGTCGAAAACCTAATTTGAGAAGCTGTTGAATGAAAATCATATAGCCTACAATAGGGTTCTTAGAGACATAATATGATGGACTATCGTAAAGAAAGAAGTTTCTAATAGATATATTGATGTTCTAAAGAACGGATATGATGGGACAATGGCCAAAATTAGAACAGTTAAAGGAAAAAGAAGTGCATTCCCCATTATTATAGGTCTACATTCAAGGATCGACATTAAGATCATATCTTTTTGCCTTAGTTATGGATGAACTAACAAAACAAATTTAAGATGAGGTTTTCATGTATTTTGCTATTTGCTGATGATATTGTTTTGATTTATGAAATTAGAACAGGGAAAAGTGATAAATTAGAGGTTTGGAGAGAAGTTCTAGAATCAAGAGGATTTGAGATATGTAAGACTAAAACTGACTACATGGAACATAACCAATAAAAGTAGGGATGTAGTCTAGGGAGTCAAGAGGTACCAAAAAAGCAAACATTTTTTCACCTAGGCTCAACTATACACAGAGAGGGAAAATTGAAGATGATATTCCTTATAGGATAAAGCTAGATGGATGAAATGGAGTAGTGCTTCTGGCATCTTGACTCTTGAGTGATCGGCATATACCTCTAAAAAATTTATAAAACAATTGCTATACAAACTTTATTGGACAGAATTTTGGGTGACCAAAAAACACCATATTCATAAAATGTGTTGAAGAAATACTAATGTTAGGGATGTGTGGTAAGATAAAGAATAGAAATGAACAAGTTAGATGTTTGAAGTAGGACCGATTGGAGATGAAATGAGAGAGAATTGATTAAGATGGTTTGGCCATGTCCATGGAAGGCCAATAACTATATCGGGTAGCATATGTCTTATTTGAAGTTATGGCTTTAGATTGAGCATAATGATAAAAAAAAAACTCCGCCAATGATAATTGGTCACAGAGGTTCTGCAAATAAATAAATAATAATAATAATAAATCTGTTTTACTGTGTTAAGATAAGATGGATTACAACTTAAAGGAACCAAACACCTATTCCTTCTAACTATAACATCATATGCAGTGACGGACCCAGAGAATTGTATAAGAGGGGGAGGCCTTGAACAACAATAATATATAATGGGGTATCATCAGAAATTGGGTGGGTGCATTTTTAAGATTTTTACAAAATTATAGGTAATTTGTAAATAAATAAAAAAATTAGTGGGGGCGGCTGCCCCACCACTTAGTCCTTAATAGGTCCGTTCCTGATCGTATACCCCTTCCTATATAATTATAAACTAAAAAATTAGAGAGAGAAAAAAAAAAAGAAAAAAAAAAGAGGGTAAATTGGATGGTGAAACAGTTTAAAAGCTATCAACATTGTTCGAAAGACAGTTTTTGTGTAATCCTATTTATTCAGTTTCTCTCTCATTCTATGCTTACATGTCTTTTGCTACATGAGTATCCTTTATTTTTCTCGCCTAAGATTGGGCAATGGATGTTATCCAATTACCTCGTCTCCTTACATATCTAATATGTCTAATTTCTTTAGACCAACTAAACTGTTAACCAGCTCTTCTAACATTTTTGGATTAAAATTTTAATAAAACAAGGATTAGGAATGCAGAAAAGAAAAGAAAAGAAAAAAAGGTGTTCAGACCACCAAACAAAAGAAACTGGTTTGTTGAGACACTAAACTAACTATAGCATTAAGAATGTAGAAAAGAGAAAAAATTGGTGTCTTACAATATGTACTTGAGGATGAAATTAAATCATGGATCTCGAGTACCCAAAGTTGTGTTGGAAACGTTGAATTTCCTGGGAACCAGGTTTTGATGATTCTTTGTAAATCCTTGCTTGGTGTATGGTTCTAAAATATATTCATTTTCCTACTTCTCTGCAAACGGTTATAATACCATTAATTTATGAGGAAAGAAAAGTTGATTTAGCTATGATTCATAACCAAACACTTTCTTGGTGGGACCATTCCAAACTTTTCTATTGTCGGGAATGTTGATGACCTACACTGGAAATTGCAATTGGATGATTGTAATCATCTAGCCGTGCTACTTGATTCTCTTCTAGATGTTTCCGCTTAATGACTGGTTGTAGTCCCTATACCTATCTCACTGTTGCACCAGTGAGCACATTTTAGGGATTCTTTCTCCCTTCTAATTGATGCAATCAGATATCCTTTGATCTAGTGTTTATACTTTTTTGACATCCCTTCAATACTCTGCAGGAGTTGCCAACAAGTTTACCATCAATTTCATTCAAGGGTAGGACAGTAGTGGACAATAAGAATTTTGTATTCCTTCGAGATCCAGTTTCAAGATTGTGGACAGTTCTATACCATGAGGAATATGGTTTCAAAGTTCTGGGAAGTGGGTGGGAAGGATTTAGCAAAGCAAACAACCTTCAACCGGGAGATCAATGTGTTTTCAGTGTTGAAAATGCACTCGAGTGCATTTTCAGAGTCGGTATTCTGAGGAAGTAAGATGATTTTCAAACCCTTCAACTTCATACAGCGACGAGATTGGGAGTGTGGGGAGCGCAAACAAGCACAGCAACAGCCACAACCCCATCCTTCAATCCAAGCTGCAAGAACTCAGGAAACAGTTCCCTCGTGCTGTTATCATCTATGCTGATTACCGGAACGTCTACCAAACAATCATGAAGAATCCAAGAAAAGTTGGTTTCAATGAGCTCTTCAAAGCTTGCTGTGGATCTGGTGGTGGGACGTACAATTTTGATGTGTTTGCTGCGTGTGGTTCTCAGCCCTCCATTCAGTTACTTGTTAAGCAGGAAACAGAAATCAGGATGAACTGATTACCATCATATTAGATATGGAGTGTTGGTAGTAGTTAGAAAAATGTAGCAACGAAGTTGATATGTATATTAACTATTTAGTAGAAGGTCTTATTGATTTTCTCATATATAAAAGAATTAGAACATTCGGATAGGGAGCTTCAAACATGGGCATACTTACTTGGGGAACTGTTCTACCAACTAGGTCACTGGTAATGTCCGAACATTCAGCAACTATACGAAAGGAATATCAAGACTATAACAATTGGTACTTTGGAGACACCTACTTTTAAATTTCGAGGGTCATGTGATCGATATTATTTTGAGCATCCATTAGCTTTGCTTTACTAATACCATCTTCTAATGTTTATCTACAATGTATTTTTTCTACTATTGATGATTTTTTTTTTTTTCCTTGCTTATTACAGGTGGTTTGCTACTATCAAATATTAGAAAACCACCGTTTATACTCGGTTATAAAATTAGCTTTCTTCATATTTTTATTTTTTTTATAATATTTCTAAGAATTCTCTATACACAAAATAATTACAAAAAAAAATTTAACAATAATTTGATTGGTCTGAGACCATCACATATTCCATCTAAAAATTCAATCTCCCTACCAACACTTTTGCTCACACGCATCACACATATTTTTTTATTAGTATATTATAAAAATACTTTAATAATAGTTTGATTATAGTGTACCATAAAATATCCTATTTGCACGTATTTGGATGGTAGCTCACTCTGGCCTTAATTCAAAAAATGGTTGCTCCTCCTAATTGCTTACAGGTTGTTTGCTGCAATTAAATATTCAAGAGAAAATCGACGGTTGTCCTCCATTAGAATCTATGTTGCAATTCAGAATTTAATTTTAAATTTTTTTAATATATATATATATATATATATATATATATATATATATCAGTAAATGCATATGATTAGAGTGGACCATCAATATCCTACTGTATTTCAACTATTGAACCTTTGTCGTTGACTCGTTGGTCACTCAAAACTTAATTCCAAGGAAGACCTGCTATGCGCACATTAGTTCCTCTATTGATGGATATTTTACACCTGATTTGTAGCTCACTTTGACCTTAGGGTGAGTCTGTTAGAATGGAAATGAAAGGTCAAAAAAAAAATAATAATAAAAGAAAAAAAAAAAAAAAAAAGCGTTTTATAGGAAATATTAGATGGAAAGGAAAATGAAAGATTTGAAGGGATGGAATGAGGCATGAATAATAATTTTTATTATCCTCTAAAATTAAGAATAAATGAAGGGAAAAATTAATATTTTTAATAAAATTTTATGAATACCAAATTTGCCTTTTTTTATAAAAGAAAAATTATATGAAAAAAGGTATGGTTGTAAATTCATTACAATATTTTTTATTCCTTTCGTTTTTCAAACATAATTACTATTATTTACTCTCTTTCTTTCTTTTTCTTTTTTTTTTTTTTTTTTTTTTGTGTTCCACTATACCAAACATAGCATTAATTCCAAAGATGCTTGTCCTCTTAATTACAAAGATGTATATTATTTATTTAAATAAATATATAGATACAATTCTACTCCTACAAATTCTATATTAACAACTAATAAAATCCCAAACTCTATAGGACTACTGTTAAGAAAAATTCTGTAGATAAAGTTATTCATATATTTTTTATTCCTTGATAATTTAATTAAAAAATTCAAATATTATTTGTTAAGTTGAAAACTTGTACATGAAATATATATTTTTAATTATACATACATTCGGATGTTATATGTGTATAATTTGCAATTTTTGCTACTTATGCTCCTCCTCTTCTCACATGCTCCGTATTTGATTAGAGAATGTACGATTATTTACTTATGTAATTGCTTTGAAAGCTACAAAAAAAAATTGTCATATCATATTTTCCTTTAAAATTTTTATTTTCCATTTATCTATATTGTAATGGTATGTGTCATTTTATTTTTTTGTGTTCTAGCATCAAGACAATGATTTCAGTTATGCCCCTATAAAAAAGTATATTTTAATTTTATATTCTATTAATTTTCACCTCGTTAACCAATTAAATTTACCTTATGAATAGTTGAATATATGATTTAATTTCTATTTTGACCTAATTCTATAATTCCATCGAAAAACGACACCGTATAAGTATATTTGAATATTATATCAAAAACCACGTGGAGCCTTCAGAGACTTCGGAGACTCCAGACTGATGATGTCATGGTATAAAAGCACAGTTTCGCTTTCATAGGACAGACAGAGATTCTCTAGAGAGAGAAACAAGGAAATTAATCTGCTCTACACCATAGGATAGGAGAGAGAGGGGTACTCAACGAAGATAGAAAAATTACACTGCGCGGCTTGATCTTATATCTATATACTAAAGACTTGCAAAGGTAAGCTTTTTTATCACTCAATTCTTCTTCCTTTTTTTTTTATTTTTTTATTTTTTTTTATTTTTTTACTCGATTACTCGTATATATTTGTAGTTGTGTGCGTTGTGCATTTAAATGAGTCAGAAACTATAAATCTGTCCATATTTGTCGATTTTTTAATAATTATAAATGAATCATATTTAATTTGAAGGTCAAGATGGATTAAGTAATTTTTAATCACTTTGAGTCAATCATATTTATCAAATAATAAACACACAACACATATATATTCTATATTACACTCAACTCATTTACCTCTCTAAAATTTTCTCACTCACAATTCTTGTCTCTAAATTTGTCTCTCATCATTCCCCTCTCTCTAAAAATTTCTTCTGAAAAAAAAAATTAAAAATTTAAATAAATTTTTTTTTTAAAACCTTCCGAAAAAATATAATTTAAAAATAAAAATTTTTGAAAAAAAAATTAAATAAATATTTTAAATTTTAAAATTTTAAAAATATATAAAGGTTTAAAAATAAATAAAATAATTTTAAAATAAATAAATAAATTTTAAAAATAAAAAAATTTTAAAAATTAAAAAAATTTAAATATATTTTTTTTATTTTTATGATAGTTAAGCTTTATTAAGATGTCATCCCTTTTAAAGTTTCTATTCGGTAGTCCAGGTTTATTAAGATTCCATCCTTTTTTATGGAGAGAAAAAGATCAAGTTGTAAAATGGACCACAATCATTGTGTTCTTATCCCTACCAATTGATGTCATATAGCTATGTGAGGGTTGACGGTTGAAGGTTTCCAATCTTAGGATTTCTAAGATTCCACGCTGTGCTCAATTCGGGGACCTCATTTCCTCCTTTGCTTGATGAACCGGTGACGTAGCCTAATATCAAGCAGACATTAGGTTTAAAAAAATAAAAAAATTAAAAAAATTAAAAATAATAATTAATGAATTCACGGGTCATAACTGGTTGACTCACTCATTTTTAACCCGTTCTGAACGGGTTGAATATGGATCTTGACCCATGTTGACCCGTCAATTTTCAACTCAACCCAAACCCGGCCCAACCCGTCCATTTGCCACCCTAGGTTATTGTGACGTTGATGTTCACGTGCAATGCACGTAATCTTGAATGATAAAACTTTTTGTGTCGCCGATTTCAAGTTCTTGCATGGTTGGAAATAGAGGTTGTTAGAGCTCCTGTTCTATATTTGAAATAGAGATTGTTAAAGCTCTTTTTCACATTTAGAATGTGCATGTGTATTAATGTATACATGAAAAATAGTTAGTATTTTTTTTTTTTTTTTTTTTTTTTTTTTTTTTTTTTTCAGAACCTTGCATTTTCTCAATTAATTTGTTCACTTTGAGATTTGGATGCATTTTTCCTCCAAGTGAACCAATTTTCCTTTTGTTATCCATTCCATTTTGGGATAATTTGTTGGGTTCACAAAGAAGCTTTCAAAATTTTATATATGTGTGTGCGCGCGGGCAAATGGGACTTGAGTTACTACTAAATCACCATGTGGATGATGAGATACCATTTCTTTTTCTTTTTTTCAGATTCATACTAGAGCCACTATGATTCAATAAAAACCCTATGGATCTTCCAAAGAGCAACATGACCTTTTTTTCCTATTCGAAGATGAAGATCAGCCCTTAGTCCATATATATATATATATATTTTTCGAATGGTAATTGTTTTCGAGTGTTGTCATTGGAATAGGAATGGAAGACATCTTTATTTTTATTTTATTTTTATAAGCAAAAGAGAATAGCGGGAGGCACTACATTGCATTTGCTGATAAATAGATTACTCATCTTTGCCACATCTTTCATACATTAGGAATTGTTATACTTGCTTCTATATTTTGTATTATTGTCTCACTAGTCACGGCAGAGCAGGTTTAGCAGACGAGAAGATAAGATGGATTGCAACTTTGAAGCATGTGCAGAGTGCACCCAGAATTGTCTGTTGATTCATGGGAAGAAGAAAGAACAGTCACCTGCCATTAAGTCATTTTTTGAAGTCATGATCGGCGATGATTTTTCTGAAGTTCTGGTATAACTACAAATCTCCTTTTTTTTAGTTAGTTTAATTAATATGTCGTTTTATATGATTTTAAGGTTGCTTCTGTGCTCTTTTTATTCTTCCTACTTATCATACATGGATTCACCAATTTCATCTTTTTCTGTATTTATCCACTATGTGTTCGATCTTACACTTCTTTTAACAGGCTCTTTTTAATATTTTTTTTATGGTTAAATTCATATCTCAAAGTGCATGCTTGTGCACTTTGACCTATTGTATTGTTTTTTTTTTCTATATTGAATCTGTTTAATATTGAATTTGTTTTATGGCGGCATGAAATGGAAAAATTTATTTATTTTTAAATGGTGGGTCTCCCTTTCATAATTGTCATTTTTTAGAAAAGATAGTATTATGATTTATGTGTATTGAACGTCCTTATTTGGGCATGAAAATCTGTATTGGATTTGATCATTATTTAGCTTGATTTGTTGTACGCTAAAATCCCTGACATGGTGAACAATCTTTCTGTAAGATTGAGACCTCAATTTGTTGTGGTTGGACAAGTTTGAATTGGTGCCATATATTCTTAATACGCCGTAGACAACTTCGGTTGTTTCTATAACGAACTGGTTATGCTGGATTATGTGACGTTATTTTGTTGTATCAAGATACTATTAACTGCTGGATGGTGTTTGCCATTAACTAAAGCATATTATTGTGTGGAACATTTTGAATTATTAAACATAATCTAAAGTTGCTATTGTATCTAGATTGATAGAAATTAAATATATTTTTCAACCTTTTTTATACAAGTTTTTTATATATTGTTGAAAAAAGGAAATGGTTCAGGATCAGGGGAGGGGGAAGGAAACAGTTGTCAGCTGCCTTGAACTTTCTTTCTCTCAAAGATTCTTGGTTGTGCGATGTATATGATGTGTTTTCTTTTTGTCTTTCTGTTTGTGAAGTTGCAATTTGTAAAGATGCTTCTACATTTGTTTGACATGGAATTTTATTCCAATTCAAACTAAGGACTTGTTTATCTGAGATGGTGATTGCATTGATTGTTAATTTTTTTACGGGTTAAATACAGCGGAAAATTGGATTTTTGGTGACCATAATTGGAAAATTTTCTCTAGAGTGACTTTAAAACTCTAGGAAAGATAACTAGTAACCAAACCTAAAAAAGTATTGCCAATTAGTGACCATT